ATTATTTCACTCTCTCCTACTACTTTTGTGGAATTGGACCGTGGGATTGATAATTTTCTAATGCAATACAGGAACGCCGTTCACTCCGTTACTGGGAAGAGTCCCGTGCTTCTATTTAAATCTCGTTCGTTACGTACAAGTCTTGATTGTGCCAAAACGACTGATTTTACATTTTTCAAGGGTAATGATTTACGACCCGCAACAGGAATAGTACTTTCATCAAATGGCAAACGAATGGTCACAATTCTCGATTTGGATGATCTCTCTTGTCATCGGAGACACATTGACCAGGTTGAGTTCAATACCAAAGGTCAGTCTTTCAACGGCAATCCTGCTGTTTCAAATACTAATGAGTCCCTTGTAGATGATCTTATGGTATCTGAACATAACGTATCTGAAGAACACACAACCTGTGAAGAGTCTGAAGTTTCCACTCCGAGAAGATCCGAAAGGTTGCGGTTAAGACCACCACTGGACTATAAACATCCACACTCTCATTCAAGGTGTGGCGGATGTGGTGAACATGACTGATACTCTATTCGTTGCTCTATTCATTATTCTCTTGTTTTAATATTCTATATGCTGTACATATTCGCCATTTCGAGTACATACGTGCTGGTTGTTAGGCTTCGCTGAATTCTGGATTTCTAGTTCGTCTGGTTATACTGATATACGTACGAAACTCAAATCTCACATTCATTTTTCGACAACCAGTGTAAACTAAACGCACTGCAATCAGGTGACGGCTTTTTATTCCCCAAACTATCCTTGGAAGTATGTAGATATGTATATGTATGCACAGCGAACGATTAGCGAGAGCCTTCAACCGTTTGGTCGAATCTCTGGAAAGCGAAAAATTCGGCATGAGAGGGCTGTCTTGCGGTGGACTGACAAAAACCGACAGTTATTCATTTAATACATCTCTATTTTCTTCATTAATCTCGTCATCCATTGACCATGACGCATGTTCTGTCGTAACCACGACAGTATTGATAATTATATATGGTAACTATATATAATTCAGATACAGATCAGGCACTGTGAGGTTGGTTGATGAGACGGAGTATTGTCAGATACAGTCAGCAGCTACATGTGCCTCAACCGTATTAAGGCTGCAACCGTTAGCGTCGCCTGGCTGCAGTTGGTTTTGAAAATTTCCAAGAGCACTAAAGCTTTGCTTACATTTTTTGGTTTGCCACCTCTAGCCAACTTTAGCCCCTGGTGACGGGAGTAAAGTGTCCCCTATATTTGCGAACCTTGGACATCGAGGAACGCTGGTGGAGACACCCCACTGACTTCACCGGCTTACTATTGTCTGGTTCTCCGTTAACGGTGTGGTATAGTGGTATTTTGATGGCGCGAACGGCATATCCGAATCTTCTAAAATGATGGTAAATATACGATCATATCACGATTAAATCGCCTCGGACATTCAAATACTTACAAGTTACTAGGGTAAAACAGGATGATCGTATATTTTCCGGTAAAATAGGCAGATTCGACAGTTGTTTTCGTTCCGTTATGCACACATTCACCAGTAAAGTTTGGTGCAGTAGAAAGAATGGATCGCAACATGAGGTGTTCGTGGGACTATTGAAACATTATTTTGAGTAGCTGCAAAAAAATCACCTTGTAATTTTTGTACATCTCTGTTTTTAAAATGAGTGCTTTTTCAAGGTCAACAAAGGTAGTCGAATTTGGTGAATACAAGGATCGGATAAAACAAGTTCACAAAGCGAACGGTTCGGCAAGCAGATGCACTTAGTTTCTTGCACAGGATGGTGCGAAGCACACCCGGGTTCCAAAAATGAAGCAATCGTTGTCGTTCAGTTGGTCGTCAGACAAGGTTTCCGGAAAGAGTAGTGTTCTCATAATCGTGTGTTGTCAGACCCTGTAGCTCTTCACCTGTCATAAGGCCATACCAACTTGTAAACTGTCATTTAACTGCCGGGATCAGTTATGAAGGGACAGAAACGTTCCAACTCTCTTACAATAAAAAAAACAATAAGCCGAAGTGCTATAGATGGGCAAGACGAGAGGCCTGTCTACCTAACCGTGAAGGACTTATCTCCTTTCTCCTTTGTTGAAGCGTGTGTAGACGGGTTTTGCGGACAGTACTGAAGTCCACAACTTCTTCCAGGTCATCCCAGATGGGGAAATCTTCACCCCGAGAAGGGCTAAGCTCTTTAGTTGTACTGCTGTCACATCATTCAGCTCGGGAGGATGGCGGCACCGTTTGATGTGGTGCACAATCCATCGTGAATCTCAAAAGTTTCGGTGCAGCTCACTCTAAACCTGCATCTTTCCATGGCGAATATGATGACTTTCCAGGATATCTTGTTTGGGTGTGCATTTCAGCTTTGTAAACAATCTAGCAAACTGACTACGCACAGTTTATGCAACGATCCTATCGGGAATACTGAGGAACACCGCGTAGATGGGTTTCAGGGAAGGAACTTGATCCTTTGAATTCCGTGTACTTTAGCTGAACTTGATGATTCTTTGACATGCCCGGAAATCTCTCCGAAATTTTACTCGAGCAATTCCGTAACGTCGAGGGAAGACAGTGATGTCACAAAATGTGCATGAACTGCACCTGCATGCCGATTTTCTCCGGGAAATTCCTCGATATCCACCTGGAAGAATTCAGGTCAATGCAAAACTCTTCCTTCACAAATGCCGCTACCGGGCTATCCAGAAATCGAATTAGGTCTGTGCCCTAGTGGCATGGCAATGTGATGCACATTGCGCCGGCACAACCACATCTATTCTCTTCCTGCTCCAGACCGTCCGCTCTTGCCCTCTCGGGCCTTTACAAGCAACACACGTTCGAACCGTCTCTCCGACAAGTTCATCCCAAATGGCTGAAACTCTCGCTCGGTTTCCCTGTCCATAGTTTCAACGGTTTTCTTTCAAGTGCGTCAGCACCATCTTACCCACACCAGGAACTTTACACCCGACGGGGATCCACTAGGTTTCAGCGTATACCATCACTCTGACAAGTAAGCTATCATTTGCCTCTGCCGTGACTTTTTACACCTCTCCAGGCCACTTTCGCTTTCCGTAATACCGGTCAGTAACTAAATTTTTCAAAGCCGTGTCGAAAAAGCAAGGGTTTTCAGTTTTAGTTCGTTTTGGCGGCCACTGAAATGCTCGTACGTCACCGGTGTCCTGATCGTGGTTTCCCGTTTTCTGCAAGTTAGAGTTGCTTATCGTGTGGCAGCCTGGACCCTTTCGTTTTTCCTCCATTTACTGTGTTACTGCTCGCTGTCCTCAGAGCCTAAGCGTACAATGTAGCTTCAATTTGCTCCTTTCACCGCAATCCTGGGAAAGCTCATCAGTGGTGTTCATGCCCCCCAAGTTTACTGAATTAGGATCCGGCTAAATTTCAAAAGACCCTAGCTGTTTTGAATAGTGCCGGTTTTTAAATGACAGCTTCGTTTTCACGTATCGTCGGGCACCTGCAACTGACGTCAGATCTGCCCTTATTTTGTCGGTTTCATCATGATCGTGTTTGACCTACCCATCAGCTGCGAATAAACACCAAAATTACTGCTAGGTCTCCCGCTTTCAGCAACGGGAGAGCTTTCTCATGATTCGATGTTACATTTCTGAATCACAAACCAACTGTTTAGCCCTACCGTTAATCAACGTATTAACCTCAAGTTGTTGTACTTTATTGTCCAACGAATCCAACGTTGCTTATGCTATATGACCAGACAGACCCATTTCACGTGCGTGACTAGCAGGCGCCTATTCATTTCAATTCGGAAATGTTAATAGTTCAGAAGTAAAGAGATGAAAAGTTGAATTTTCCAGTGGTCCCCGTGGTCCTACGTACCCTGTTTGAAAATTTTACGGTTCTCCTGATCTACTGGCCTACTAACCTACGAAGCGGTTGAAAAATTTATTGGTTCAGGAAGCATAACCATGAAATTGGTCTAGCTGCCAACAAACTGAGTCCAGTGCCCTCTTTACTGAGCGACACTTTTGTAGACGACCTGCTCGAAAGCCCTAGCTTAGGCAGACTCGTTCTCTAATAACGGTTCAGTTTCTGCCATGTATGTTGTCGCCATCTACCGGAGCTATTGAGGGTTGAATGCCGTTTCCATTTTGATCATTCTGGTGAAACCACCATCTTTTCTTGCATCTAAAGGATGTTTCAAAGCTTTGCAATTGGCATTATAATATAAACGCGCGTATTTAAGGTCTACCGTTCATTGAGCCGGCAGCTTGCTGGTATATGTGAAGTTCATTGCCAGGCAAGGAGCATGTACTCAGGGCTTGTTTGCGGATTAATTGAAGGTCACACTTGTGCACCTTCTGAAAAAGCCGATGAGAAAAACCAAAACCTGTCTTGGAGAAAAAACTAAAGACCTCAACGCACAAGGGACATTATGCATTGTCAAAACAGTCGATGTGATAAAACAAGTGATGCCTTCGACCTTATCTGCCAGGTGACAAATTGGTCGGTCGTGAAGCCTGAGGGATCCAGGTACATTAGGTACGCTATCTGGATTGACACAGAATATTCCCCGTCACCAAACGCAGGCTGTCCATCAGGCTGTCCTGCATAGCAACAGTTACTCCTGAAGAATCCAATGCTTAACAACTTTTCTGGTGTTAGAGATAGTGATAGCCGCAGTTTGTGCACCACTCAATCAAATTAGTTCCGCAGGCCATCGAGAGTAAATGACCGTTGCCTTTAAAAGAATGCATAAGGCGTTCAGCGCTCCGGTCAATAAAAATCCAAGCCGTCGGTTGATTGGAAAGCTACGTAAGATAACTTACAGGCGACACGACTGATTCGGACGGAGTAAGCCCTGAATAGCAGGAACACATGAGTGCCAGTGCGTCATATTTTTTTGTGAAGGAGGCACTGCATTGATCTGCAAAGTTTTAAGCCATCTTGGGCACTTGATGCTTTGCTTTGGAAACCTATGGAACCCACATGCTCCCAACCAAGGAAGGGCATGTACTTTGTTACTCAACAGATCACTTTAGAACGTAAACGTCACCCTCCACGATTCCCTTTTAATCATACCGGTACGAAATATACGTCTTGCACTCCGGCCTGCGCCACCCAACGGTTGGAAACCCATTCAGTATTGCTTGTTATGGGGCGCCAGTGAGGTGTTTGCACTTTTTAAACGACAGGTGGTGTTCTCCACGCGGTTATCTAACGCATTATGAAAGTAAAACGCCAGTGATTGTACTTGGGCAGCCCATGTTCGGATGATAAACAACGATTATCCATGGGATAAAAGGATAATCGTAGATTCGCTCAGCAGAGTATTTCTGAAATGCAGTGGAATTTCGTGTTAACATGGTAATAATAGGATAACCTACTTAAAGGGATTACCCACGGGCTGGAATATATTGGCTTCTTGCCGAGTGTATGTAACCAAAACAAATGAATGGCATATACATCCTTTCGGTAGCTTTATGAATGCGAAAACAGCATATGAAATCACAGCAGCTAACAAGTCCAGATCCTCGAATTTGTGCCGTCAATATTTCCATAACGACGACATTACATGGTTCTGTCCACCCCTTATCTCTCTGGATTGCCATCTATACCCATGAATGATCTTCCCTAACATATCCGCCCCCCCTGCACCTATAAACTCCAACCATATGAAGGGCAACATGTTTAACCGCCCTAACTTCAACTACGTGCTCTCATCCCAGAAGCGTTACCCTCTAATGCTGAGCTCCAAACACCACCTTATGCAGGGGATAAAACAGAAAATTAAAAAAGACACATTCTCCATCAAACGCCTATGCAGCTGCCTGAAGCTAGCCCTGGTTTAGGCGCATATCCCACGCAATCCCCCCCTTAAACCCAAAAAACGATTTTAGCCGCCGCGTGCAAGTTGACAGAGGCTTACAACACACATTCAGTGTCACGCTTGTGACACGGTTCACTTCAAAAAGCCTTTAGGCTCTTTCTTGGGTTGTAACTGCGCCACGCTGAGATCACCACCTCCTTCAAACATGCGATCTAACCGTACACCTAATGCACTTCTCCGAACTTTTTCCCATGTACGCATTAAACTGAACTGGAATCCACCAACTTTCAGGCTTAGTTAGCGATGTTCTGCGCATTGTGTCATATAAAATGGCCATCCGTGTCCCCAGTTGGTAAACTACTGTCTATGATTGCTCCTGATTGCTAACTGGTCTTCCTATGGAGCTTCCTCGCAGAATTCCCGGATGAGCGTCGCTGGACCGTTCCAAAAATTGTCTGCGATTACTTTCTAATCTATATTCCCCTGGCATTTTGCAACACACTATACTCCCACCTCATCAAATGATCGCCAGCTAACCACCTCCTCCTTTGTAGAAACTGTCCAAAGTCACACGCTTCAACCGTGATTCCTGGTACCGCCTAATCACACGTTTTACGTTTTTACTAGCTTAGTTGGTGATTTCGCAGCTAACCGCAGTATCGGTCGTGCTCCAATAAACTAGCGCACATCCCTCGCTTTTGCATAAAGTGGCGCTGATTTGAAGGGACTACATAATGTCTTTCGCACTATTTCCGTCTGACTGTCCATTAACGTTTTTTAAATCAAGCTGTGCCACTTCATTTGATAGTTAGAATTTGTAACCACTCTTTGTTGCCTGTAAAATCAGGCCGCAGTAAAAC